CATTTGATCTGTCATGAACTTCAATTCTGTCTGCCTTTCATCTCTCTCCCAGCCCTCTGTCTCCTTCCCACCCTCAAATGGGTGTATATGTATTGTCATATTTAAATCTCACAAGTCTTGTCATTGTTATATCCTTAGTTTTAAGATAAACCAAACTCACATTTTGATCTAGTGCTAAGTGGCCAGATGTTAAGTCAGTATTCTTCCAAGGCCATGTCAAATATCACCATCATGGTATGATGAAATTTTGGGATACAGCATTAAGTTTATCCAGAAAGTTTTTTGCTTTAAGATTTATTTATCTGAAAGGCAGAGTTACAGAGAGGCAGAGTCAGAGAGTGAGAGAGGTCTTCCATCTTCTGGTTTACTTCTCAGATAGCCACAACGGCTGGAGCTGCACTGATCCGAAGCCAGGAGCCAGGAGCTTCTTCCAGGTCTCCCATGCGGGTGAAGGGGCCCAAGCACTTGGGCTGTCCTCTACTGCTTCCCCAGGCCATAGCAGAGAGCTGGATTGGAAGTGGAACAGCTGGAACTCAAACCAGTGCCCGTATGGGATGCCAGCACTGCAGGCAGTGGCTTTACCCGCTATGCCACAGTGCTGGCCCCACAAAAATTGTTTTTAATTTAGCAATTAAATATTTGACATCAGTGTAGGATTGGTAATTTCTCTATGCTGTTTGCTGTTACTTTGCACCTGATAATTATACTGAGTATTGAAAAAATTCTTCACATATATTCACTTTAATTTTATTACTTTTATTCATAGCAGGCCCATGATTCAGAATAAAATTTTATAGTAGTTTATAGGAGGAACACTATATTCAGGATGCAAAATTTAGGTAAATCTTAAAAGTCTTACTATTTGTAAGCAGCATCTTTCAACAAACTTAAGTCTCTAGACTCAAAATCATAAGAAGGGGTGGGCATTTGGCCTAGCGATTGAGAGACTACTTTGGACTCCCACATTCTGTATCGAAGTACCTGTGTTCAACTGCCAGCTTCACTTCCAGGTGCAGCCTCCTGCTAATGTACACTCTGGGGTAGCATATGGTGTAGCTCGTTAGTTGGGTTTCTGCCACCCATGTGGGAGACCTGTGTTGAGTTCCTGGTTCCTGCTTCCTAGCTCTGGTCTGGACCTGCCCCAGCTATTGTAAGCATTTGGGAGTGAACCAGCTCAGAAAGGATATTCTTTCTAAACTTGTCTACTTAAAGCACTGTGTGTTTGTTAACTTTGTGTAAATCTGTTTTCCTATTTAATTTTTTAAAAGTTGGAGTTGCACCTAAGTTTGGCTTTCACAATCCTCACCAAAGATCACAGCAGTTTATTCTTCTTGTTGTTTGTCTTGTTTTGTTTTGTTATTTTTAAGACAGTTACAGAGAGAGGTCTTCCATCCACCGGTTCACTCCCCAGATGGTCTCAAAGGCCGGAGCTGTGCCGATCCAAAGCCAGGAGCCAGGAGCCTCCTCCCGGTCTCCCACATGGGTTCAGGGGCCCAATGACCCGGGCCACAGCAGAGAGCTGGATCAGAAGAGGAGCAGCTTGGACTAGAACTAGCGTCCACATGGGATGCTGGCACTTCAGGCCAGGGCTTTAACCCGCTGCACAACAGCACCGGCTCCAAGCATTTTATTCTTGCAGCATGTTCACTTACTCTTGTTTTTCCGTAAAATATCACCATATGAAAGATTTCTACCCACATTATACCTAGAAAGCCTACACATATTTATTAAAATAAATATTCAGATATTCATATTCAATCCAAGTAACATTATTTATATTGCTGATATATAAATGAGAGTAACTTTGGGATCACATGGACATTCGTCAAGCACAAATACTAGAAATGTCATTGAAGCAGTCATTTGCTTCTGTGGCCTTCCGAAGGCCAGGACCAAAGGTGAAGATAATTTTAGCTGAATATTGAGGCTAAGTGAACTTGAATGATTCCCTGTTTTGTTTTGTTTTAATAAGGAAAACTTAGTTTTAGCAACATGAGGTAATTTACATTCAGTTTTCACAGGTAGTAAGTGGTGAAAGAATTAGGACCAGCTAGCCGAAACCTCTCTTTTGCCTTTGTAAGTTGTGATGAATTTAAAAATAGTTGTTCTTGACATTGTTCCCTGAATAAACATAGATTTCCCCATTCTGCCCCTCTTCCCTTCATTATTCCTTCAGTAAAAGCTAGGTGAGAGAAGAGATTTAGAAAAGAATGCCTTTTTCTTTTCAGTGATGGTACTACTATAGTATACTGCTATAGAGACTTGACTTTGGAGCATAAATCCTTTGGATCCTGATAGAAAATGGGACTGCAATAAATAAACTGTAGAAAATCTTAAAGCTCAGTGAAATGAGTCTGCACTAAATTACCCCCATGTTGATTTAAATAGCCTTTAATTCAGTCTTGTATAAACATACCTATGATAGACAATGGTGATTAGAGCATTGGTCTGTCAAAGTGACATTTAAGATAGAAAGTTTAAAAGGTGAGATGCTGAAGGAGCAAAAGGTCCAAAGTGGAGGAGCACCCTGATCCTTAAAATCTTGCATTGTGGGTCATCTTACATGTATATAATCTATAGATTATCTCAACTTGATAAAATCTCAGTTATAATTACTGCCAGTAACACAAAGAGACCCAAAAACTCCCGTAAATTCCCAGGCAACAGGAAGTATTTAATATTTACAAAAGCCTTTTATACTTGGATAAAATTTGTTTGTTGCTGTTTTCAAACAGAACCAAAAACCTCTAGAAATTTTTAATTGAAGATTTTAAGTGTAGATGCACATTCTGTTGTAAGAATATCAGTACAGAAAGATCGTGTGTAATCTTCACAGTCTTTGGCTCTGTGGTAGCACTTTGCAAAACTGGAGAACACTATCACAAACAGGATATTGGCATAGATAGGATTTACTCATCTTGCCCACATTTCCCCAAGTTTACTTGTATTTATTTAATTGTACATGAGTGTATTTAGCATTTTATCCCACATTGGTTTCTATATTCACCACCACTGCATTTAAGATACTGAACGGTTCCATCACAGCACTGTCTCTACTGCATCTACCTCCCACCCCAAGCCCTGGCTGCTACTAATCTGTTCAGCATTTCTAAAATTCTGTCATTTCAAAAATGTTATATAAATGGAAACGTATAGTATGTAACTTTAAGATTGATTCTTTGGGGTCAGCATTGTGGCATAGTGGGTAAGGTTGCCGCCTGCAGTGCTGGCATCCCATATGGGCACTGGTTTGAGTCCTGGCTGCTCCACTTCCAATCCAGCTCTCTGCTATAGCCTGGGAAAGCAGTAGTAGATGGTCCAAGTCCTTGGGCCCCTATACCCGCATAGGAGACCCAGAAGAAGCTCCTGGCTTTGGATCAGCACAGCTCTAGCCATTGCAGCCAGTTGGGGAGTGAACCAGCAGTTGGAAGACCTCTCTCTCTCTCTCTCTCTCTCTCTCTCTCTCTCTCTCTGTCTTTCTCTCTCTCTCTTTCTGCCTCACCTTCTATCTCTGTAACTCTTTCAAGTAAATAAATAAATCTAAAAAAAAAAAAAATTTTTTTTCACCAAAGATTCATCCAAGTTGTTGTGTGTATCATTTTTTTAAATCTTTTTTTAAATTTTTTTTAAGGAATACAAACTTCATATATTTTATAATTACAACTTTAAGAACATGGTGATTCTTCCCACCATACCTGCTGTATCAGTTTCTTTTTGTTGTTATAAGTAGTATTCTGTGGTGTGTGTGGGTGTGGGGGGGTGTGTGTGTATGTGTATATACATATACATATGCCTTAATTTATTTTACATTTTACCTGTTGAAGGACATCTTAGGTCTGTCCAGTTTTTGACTGTTACAAATAAAGTTGCTGTGAACATTCCTCTACAGGTTTTCATATAAACATAATTTTGCATTTCTCTGGGATAAATGCCCAAGAGTTCCCAGATTTTTAAGTCAGAAATTCTTAAAGTGCCAAAAATACTAACTCAGGGAATAGATATTAAGATCAATCATAAATCTGTTGTCAGTCATTCTTTTATATGAAACTAAAACCCCAAAATTGTTGATTGAGAAATTTAGTTTTGTATACTGTTTGGGAGGAGAATGGCATCAAAGACCATTTTTATCACAAAACAGTAAATTGACACAGTGTGCCCTTAACATAGATGTAGTTGATTCAGCCATTACCTTTGTTAAACAGGTGCTCTTTTTCTTTAATTTTTCTTACTTCAAAAGTACTAAGTAATTGTACAGGTGTACAAGGCCAGCCTTGTGGCACAGCAGGTAAAGCTGCTGCCTGCAACACCAGCAATCCCATATGAGTGACGGTTCATGTCACAGGTGCTCTGCTTCTGATCTAGCTCCCTCCTAGTGTCCTGGGAAATGCAGAAGATGGCCCAAATGCTTAGGCCCTGCCACCACATGGGAGACCAGAATAAAGCTCCTGGCTCCTAGCTTTGGCCTGGCCCAGACTTGGCTGTTGTGGCCATCAGGGGAGTAAACTTGCAGATGGAAGAACTCTCTTTCCCTCTCTCTCACTGTAACTTTGACTTTCTAATAAGTAAATAAACCTTAACCAAAATTAATTTAGAAAATTGTGAATGTATAAATACATAAAGGAGAAAATGAAAACCCAATACCAAGAAAATCATTTAAGATTTGTGAATTTATTTCTAGTCTTTTCCTTTGTGTGCATAATACTAATTTAATACAGTTTTATCAAGTGGAGATTAGGCTCAATACACTTTGTTATTCTGCTTAAAATTTAGGTTAAAATTAACCTTTAAAAGATGTATTTAACTATTTGTCTTCATTTGTGAACTGTTTATTTTCCCCTCATTTTTATATTGGTGAGATAGTGTTAGGGTTTATGACTATTTGCTAATGCATAAATAGAAGTTATTCTTCAGGAATGATGTTTTAATTGGATAATTTTTAAATTGATGACTATCTCTTGTTTTATGTAACATTTTAAAATCACTTTTCTTGTTCTTTCAAGATATGCTGTGATAGCATTTGGATGTGCCAGCTGTCCAAAATTAACTTGTGGGCGAGAAGGCTGTGGAACAGAGTTTTGCTACCACTGTAAACAGATTTGGCACCCCAACCAGACCTGTGATGCTGCTCGACAAGAGAGAGCCCAGAGTTTACGTTTGAGAACTATACGTTCTTCATCTATTAGTTATAGTCAAGAGTCTGGAGCAGCAGGTATTTAAGTCTGATTTACTCTAATACACTATTTGACACCAACATTGAATAATAGATACTTTAACTTTAAAAAGTAGAGTATTATTCAGTTCCTGTTATTGTCTAGTTTTCACTACACTTTTCAAAAGTGTTTTATGTTGTAAGTGCATTTGTTCTTCCCAGAAGAATTCTCATTCTTTCATGTGGACAACAGTGATTTTGAAATTGGAAAGATTTTATTGTCCATAGAAAGGAAGTGTCATGATGATTACATAACTGATGGCAAAAGATGATCTGAAATGTTGTTTATAAATGTATTTTATGTAAAAAATAGGAAATATTTTCTAATAAAATGAAAATTTTTAGTATATGTCACCTTTAGAATATTCTTTACTATGTAAGTATCACAAAATTTAAAAATTAGATTTCAGTAGTGTTTATTCTTGGAATCTTTTTCACTTAAATATTTTGACTTTTTTTGCTTATAGATGTCTCATTCAATCCTAGGATCAAGCATATAAAAGTAATACCTTTATGAGAAGAACTCTAAGCGTTAAGGTGTCTTTGGCCAGGAATTTTTAAATTTTTCTGCACTGTCTATAAATAAGCCATGTATATATTTCATAAACTCAGAAATTAAAAGATCTGGATATTCTAATGTTGTTTGAATAAAAATTTTAAAAATTAGTATTTTGTGTTGACAATTTTTATTTATTAGAATTTCAGTACTTTTTAAAGTTTTTTCTCATTGACTATAATGTAAAAATTTGGGGAAAACAAGTTATTGAGAACATAATTTACATTCTTAGCAGTGTATTAAGATATTTATGTATTTTATGTTATTAAAAATAATCTTACTATAACAGAAAATTCAATATTTAATACTTTATATTATGTACGTGAATTTTCATTCCTATTTTCTGATTGACTTGTTTGTTTCCTCTCCTGAAGATTTAGGTGGAACTCAGAGATAGTATTAGTAATTCATAGTATGGTTACAGAAGCAAATAATAAAAAATTAAAATTTTGAACTTCACACAGACATATAGAAAAAGGGAAAATGAGCTATCTAAAATTATTTTGTTAAATTACTGTTATTCCACATATTCTCATTTTTTTGTTTGTCGTTATGATACATTGAAAAATTGGGTGCATTTTTAATTTATTGGTATAGGAATAATTAGTTAAATCTAACTAGACACTTCATTTTTTTTCCGAAATCTTCAGGTGTATCCCTTTTTGTTTTTAGACAAAGGTTATTTTTGTTTCTTCTGTATAAACCAGTTACTGTTTTTTTTTTTCATAAAACAATAAATTTTCAGTGTTTGACACACTTATGTATGAAAAAGTATATGCTTATGATTATAAGGTGCATTAAATATTTTTTAATATTTGTCTTTAAACAGTTACTATTGCATTCATGAGACCATCGTGTAGCTACTAGGGAATTTATGCATTTGTAGTGACATTATAAATGAACCACTTATTTTTCATTTGTTATTATGTTTCTTTTATAAAAATGTGGTATTTAACTGGTTCCCTACCTCACTTCTATCCCTTGCTACAACCATCCTAAGAGATCGTAGTGTTTTGTAACCTGTTTTTTTCTTAATGTGACAGTGGCCTCTATTTTAACAGCAAACAGAAATACAGTAATCAAGAAAGATAAAGTTTAAGCACTTTAAATGAGAATGGGAAGCTTTTTGTTAATATTAAGGAACTTTTTTTTTTTGTATGAGAGTTAGTTAAATTTTTTTTGACAGGCAGAGTGGACAGTGAGAGAGAGAGACAGAGAGAAAGGTCTTCCTTTGCCGTTGGTTCACTCTCCAATGGCCGCCGCAGCCAGCGCGCTGTGGCCGGCGTACCGCGCTGATCCGATGGCAGGAGCCAGGTGCTTCTCCTGGTCTCCCATGCGGGTGCAGGGCCCAAGCACTTGGGCCATCCTCCACTGCACTCCCTGGCCACAGCAGAGAGCTGGCCTGGAAGAGGGAGACCCGGGACAGAATCCGGCGCCCCGACCGGGACTAGAACCCGGTGTGCCAGTGCCGCAAGGCGGAGGATTAGCCTAGTGAGCCGCGGCGCCGGCCCAAGGAACTGTTTTAATTGATGCTTGGGAAATGGGGGTGGGGTCAGTTGACCATCTAATCAGTAAAGCAATTTTCAAGATTTTTGCATTATGAGAATATTTTGTGAAAAATACATAATATACACAGTAAGTTTTGTGGTTTTTTTCCTGATTTGCTGATTTGAGGAAAGACACAAAGCAAATAAAACAGCCTTTCATAGATAAATATCTATACAGAGAATGAAAACATGGGTGCAGATACATAAAGAGACCTATCAAAAATACCTCACTTGTGTTAATTTTATAACATACTACCTTGGCATATTGAGAAGCAGCTCTGTGATTTTAGAACTATAAGAATAAATGAGAATGATGCCGTTAAATTCCAAACATTCCACTAATCAGAATCAAAGCTTGTAATCTCTTTACCCCAACTAGAGATCATCTGATGCTTGAATATATTCTTGAGTGAGGAAGTTTATCAATTAATATGCAGCTTAGGTGGATAGGATTATTTGCGTAGTTTAATGAACTAAGCGGTAGATCAGGTGTTAAAGCCAGCAGTTTTTTTTCTTTTCACGTCTGAGTGTTTAAAAAAATTTTAATGCACACTTGATGTTCTTCGAATCATTTAAAACACGACTTACGGATATTTTCAATTTTTATATTCTAGTAACATTTGTCTTGGCCTGGCTGCATAGAGTTATCAGTTTGCTCAGAATTGCTCGAATCTTTAAAACACTTATTGTGAGCATTGACCAGTTCTTAACTTTAAAAAAAAAAAAAGCTTTGGCCCTAGAAGAACAACTAAGGAAACCTGAATTCACTAATAAAGCACAGGTAAAATTTGACCATGAAACTTACAGAAAGGAGATTAAAATATAGCTTAATGCTTATAGTGTAAGAAAATGAAACACATAAATTCATTGGTTTGCACTAAAAATATATTTTATAGACTATAGTTGTCAGAAAATACTGCTATCTAATATTAGCAGGAAAATAATTACAGATTGTTACTTGAATAGATGCCAAAATTCAAATACTTGAATGATCTGAAGTAACTGTTATTTTGTCAGATTCCTAACATGATGTACCGTTTGGTTCTAATGTGGCACCATTGTGCATTGTAACCATATTATATAGAAGGAGCATACACCAACAACATTTGAATGAATGAGTTAATAAGAGGACAAAGAGCTAATTACAGCAGTCATAAGTATAACTGACAGTTGGTTGCATTTACTCTGAATTGTTTTCTATGATTTATAGAATTAGAACCACGTACCACCCCTTCCTTAATCTTGGTATCTTCTCCCTTTTATTCTGGATTCTGATTCTTTGCACAGTCCATCTACCATAAAAGAAAAAGTACAGGAAGGGGGCTGCTTTTCTCAAGACACCTGTACTGCTATTTTACAGTGCATGTGCCTGATGTTAGAAGAGAGAAGTGAACTCAGTACTTCGTGTATCTGTCGCTTCCTGCTAGTGCTCATTCACTGAAAAAATAATATACAGAATATTTACCTACATTTGAGTTAAGTGAAGCTAGTTAGAAAAGTTCTAGAACAGGAAGTACCACTCTGAAGATAGCTGTGGGGTCAGGACAAAGACAAACTTTGTATAGTTCACAGTTTACCTCCTACTATCCTTAATTCTTTCTTTTTCTTATTTTTGTCATTTCTTTGTTCTCATTGTTTTGCTAATGTGTTTGAAAAATGTTTACAACTCGAAACTTTAAAATTATGTTCCCTCTCTCAGAAGGGAAAAAATTGCTATAATATTAAAGCAGCAGGATAAAGTTGTCAGTTAATATAGTACATACAAGTATGTTAAGGTTTTTTGTTAGTGCTGCAGTTGATAATCTAGAAATTATTTTAGACCAATTTTATATACTTAATATGTTCCTCTGTGTTCTTAATAGCTGATGATATAAAGCCATGTCCACGATGCGCTGCTTATATAATAAAAATGAATGATGGGAGCTGCAATCACATGACTTGCGCTGTCTGTGGTTGTGAGTTTTGTTGGTTATGTATGAAAGAAATCTCAGATTTACATTATCTCAGGTAAGCTTATAGAAGGAACTGTTTATAAGTAAATTTTACAATTTGGGATTTATAAGAAACTGAAATGGGTTGGTTTTACTCTAGTGAGGTAAACTTAAATTATTACACTAGTCATTTGGAATCAATAACTAGTCAGAAATAGGAAATGGAGGTTTCCAGTTTTGTTCTATTTTTTGTTAAACTTGAATGATAGTATTTAATTTTCTTTAAAATTCTCGAATTTAGGCCACATAGTATCTTTCTGATATAATCAGATAATTGTATGCCTACAACAGGTGTAAAATAAACATTTTCATCAGTTTACTTTTTAAAAAGTGACTTAAAGTTTTGAAGGTAAAGGTGAGAAGGCATAAATTTTTAACCTGAGTCCCACTTACCAATATTCTGTTAATATAATTTATAGTGGGTCTTAATTTAATTGTTAGCTTTTATTGAACTCAGAATTCAAAGGGAATAAAACATTTTTGTAGTTACTGCTTTAATGTGGTAATTCTTTGTGAAAGTTTGCAGCAGTTCCTTTATGTAACTTTTTTCCTTTAGTCCATCAGGATGTACTTTTTGGGGAAAGAAACCCTGGAGCCGAAAGAAGAAGATACTGTGGCAGCTAGGAACACTTGTTGGTGCTCCTGTGGGAATTGCGTTAATAGCTGGTATTGCTATCCCTGCCATGATCATTGGCATTCCTGTGTACGTAGGCCGTAAGGTAAAGGCATACTTCCTTGTTAGTTAATTTTTTTCTCTAAATCTCCAGGTGTGTCCTTGCTTTTTCTTTTTTTTTTTTTTTGGACAAAGGTTATTTTAGTTTCTTCCATATGAACTAGTTACTGTTTTTCATAAGGCAATAAATTTTCAGTGTTTGATAAGCTTATGTATGAAAAAAACAGACTTGCTTTGGAGTTATCTGAGTCTGAAAACTAATACATTTCCATTAGAATAACATCTAACTTTGGGTATAAAATAGTGAAAGATGCATAACATTTTTCTCAAAGGTATATCCTTGTAAAGACAAATCTGTTATGTCTTTTAAAAAATTAATTTATTTGAGAGGCAGAGACACAGAGCTCCTATTTGCTTATTTACTTACCAGATGGCCACAGTGACTCAGGTTGGAGCCAGGAGCCAAGATTCAATCTAAGTTTCCTTGATGAGTGGCAGGGACACAACTACTTGAGCTGTAACCTGCTGCTTCCCAGGATGCACCTTAACAGGAGGAATCTGGAATTCAGAAGCCAGGACTCCAGGCGTTCCAAAGTGGGATGCAGGTGTCCCAGCTATCTTAAACTGGTAGGCCACACTCCTACCTCTGTGAGATCTTTTTAATAGAAATTAATAGATAAATTAAGATAAGTAACCACTTCTTGAATTATTTCCACTTCAATTCAAAGCTTTCTTTTTAATTTTGGATTACTGCTGTTGATAAGTATGCGATTTTGCAGGTTATTAATGGTTCAATGAAATTTCAAACAGTATTGACTACCACAGACCTATGGTGGATGAATTATACTTCATTAGCTAAGCAAATAATTATTTTTGAAGTGTTATTGTGATAATGTATGCAGTGCTAACAAGTCGCTGCTACGTAAATTTAATAGAATTATCTAATCCCAAATTTGTACATTAGCAGAACGAAGATAGCAGTTTTCAGAAAGGGAACTAAATTTTTTGAACTCTAAACTTTGTTGCAGATGTTTTATGTATTTTGACTTTATTTTAACCATGCAGCAAACTAACTACTTTAGTTTTTAATTTGTTAGGATATTGAGGTCTGGAAAAACTTTTATGTGGCGGTGGGCATTGGGCAAAGCAATTAAGACGCTGGTTGGGATACCCATATCCCATATGAGAGTGCCTGGGTTCAAGTCCCAGCTCTGCTCTTCCTTGCTGATACATACCCTGAAAGGCAGCAAGTGCTGGCTTAATTGGTTGGACCCCTGCCACCTATGTGGGATACCCAGATTGAGTTCCTGCGCCTGACAGCCATTATAGTCAGGTAGGGAGTGGATCCAATGAATGGGAGCTGACTCTTGTGCTGGTTTGCTTGGGGTGGGGAGGGGTTGTTGTGTATGTGTGTGTCTTTGCCTTTCAAATAAATAATTGTTTTGATCGAAAAACTCATATAATTTATGTTCTGTGATACAAAACTGGGATTTGAATCCAAACTTGGATTTGAATCTTTATATAAGATCTTGATAAGTTTCAGTGTAGCCATTTGGACACTTGAATCGTTGGGAAATCACCAATTCATGAAGAATTGACAACCACTCTGTTGTCAAATGGCTGTTAATTGTTAGAAAATTCTTACATTGACTCAGAATCTATTTCCTTCTAGCTCGTTTTCTTTAATTCTGTTTCTTCTGGAATCAAACTCATAATAAAGTTGATCCATTTCCATGTAACAGCCAAATGTTAAAATCAGGAAAACAAAATTTTTTAAAAATGAGTTTGAAACTGACAACAAACATTTAGATATTTATAAGCCAAATCTTTATTTCAGAAGGTTTTAAGTAAGTAAACCTTAGCTTTTAAAAATCTCATACAATAGCTGATAGTAATTTTTCTTGTAATTATTGAAAGCAAGGTTTTTGGAACTGTCAGTTCAGATACTTAGAAGTAGAAGGGGAAAATGCTGTTCTGCACAGACCTACCAATAATTTATACAGGAGATATTACTTCATCGTTCAATTTCAAGTTTTAATTATAGTCACAAGTCTTTTTTTCAAATATATTCAAAGGGTTGCAAATTGATGAATTAGTTTTCTATTGAAACTGTTTTGTGGTGTTGAGGGATCCAAACCACCACAGGAAGACCTATTACTGGATAAAGTATGCAAAAACTGAGCCTTCATTTACAATAAAAGAATAGAAAATGTGGCAAAACAGAAAGTTGGACGAGAAATGGAAGGATGACTTACCTCTGTAATTGAGCATTGGTGTTTGAGGATGCAGAATTTCTGGAATACTCCTTTTTCTTGGCAACCTGCCTTTGCAGATTTACTCTGTTAGTTTGTAGCTTCGGCTCTTGGCTCTTCTCTGCTGCAGTGCTAAGTTTCCAAGGAATAGAAGGGGGAGGAGCAGAAATTAGCTGCGATACTAAGGATATACTGGGCAGCTCTGGCAGGAATGTTTCTTGTCCCATATGTCCTCACCCACCTTCCCGTACCCAGCCTTTTCACTGTTTATCCCACAAGACTCCTTGTACTTTACAGCCTGCAAAATGACCACAGAATAATAGATTGTTTTATTATGCCTAACCTGTAGTATTGTTTATAAGTCAAATATTTTGTTTCAGAGACTACCTGCATATTCTTGAAAAAGAAGGGGAAGGGGGTAAGCATTTGGCCTAGCAGTTAAGCTGCTGGTTGGGTGCCCACAACCCATATAGAAGTGCCTGGGTTGAGTTCCCAACTGTTGGCTTCAGCTTGGCGCAGCTCTGGCTGTTGCAGGCATTTGGAGGGCTAAACTGACAAGTGGGCATCTTTGCTCACTCTTGTAAGCACACGCTCACTCTGCTCTTGCCCTCTCCCTTTCTCCCTTTCTCCCTTTCTCCCTCCCTCTTCCTCTCCCTCTCCCTCTGCCTCTCCCTCTCCCTTTCTCCCTTTCTCCGTCGTTTCTACCTCTCTATACTCGCTCCCCGTCTAGTTTATTTATCTCAAAGGCTAGCCTGCTAAGAAGGCCCTTTCTATTTCCCTCTTCGTTACCGCAACTCTCCCGAGTGCTGCAGATCCATTCTTGGCCAATGCGAAATCAGGAGCTAGCATTTCCTCCCTGGTCTTCCACGAGGGTGGAAGGGTCCAGGTACTTGGGTCATCTTCTGCTGCCTTCCCAGGAACATTAGCAGGACAACAGATTGGAATCAGGCATCCAGGAATGGATCTGTCACTCTGATAGGCGATGTCAGGGGCACAAGGGAAGATAACATACTGTACCATACTGTCACCCCTCACAGAATGTTTTCCTTTGGATTACATGATATCTGAGTGAAGGAGAGA